ACCACCCACTCACCAGCGAGTTCCCGTCGTAAAGCACAATCTCGCCTGTGGTCAGGCTTCCGGGATAGGCCAAGTAGGAGTTGGAATGGTTGATGGAGAGGGCACACAGACCTGGTGGAGAACAAACAGGATGAAGTCGGAGCGGGCGTCCGAAAACAGCGCGGCCACAGCGCCACCTCCTGGCCAGGCGGAACGGCTTTGCGACGTCGACCCTCCGTGGGCTGCGACTCTGAGCCAAGGATCCCAAGAAAGCAGAGGTTCAGGGGAAGACCTCCTGATCCGGCGCCGGCCACGGCCCCTCCACAGCAAAGCGATGCCAGTCTAGCAGCTTAAGCGTGCCCATCTGCACATTTACCCCTGGGCCAGGGCCCTGAAACATCTTCCCATCCATTACCTTCCAGGTCCATGAGATAATTACATAACACTGAAGTGGATCTCTCTCCTGTGAAAGGGCAGCATGGGCTAGTCTCTCTCAGATGGCCGTATGCAATCGGCCAGTAATTTGAGTTGGAGAAGAGGAGGAGCAAAGGATCTATTAAGAAATTGCTTGTTTCTGAGCCGAAGGTTCTCCTTGATAAGGAAAGTGGGTGGGGTTTGCAGAGAGGGAAGTTCACCCGAGGTCTGCCTCTGCAGCCAAGATGGTGTGCCCAGGCACGGAAATAAACTAGACAGGCAGGATGTTTTGGATTCAAGATGCTTCACCAATATTCTGGAAGAGCAAACAGCCCATCGAGCTACTGAAGAACCATAAGTTATTTTTATTTACAAGGGGATACGAGTGGAAGGCATCCCAGTAGTGTTTAAGTAAAGGATTTTCACAACAATGATTTAGGTTAATAGAGGTGTACATGGCAGTAGCCAATACAAGGAAACTCCTTAGAACCAAAGCATTACCAGAATAGAAACTGTGAGATGACATAAGAGATACATCTGTTTAAATAAAAAAGATGACTGACATCTGTTACAAGTTAGTATATTAGGTGGGTTTCTTATAAAAGATAAGAAAAACGTTAGATCAGGCTGAAACATACCTCACCTAGTCTGCTGAAGGACAGCAGAGAGAAACAGCAAATGTTTGGAACTGGAACCTAGGCTCTGCGTGCCACTGTGGCTTCGCGGAGCATGCAGCAGGGTTGGACTCTTATCACCTGGCACACAGAACCACAGGAGACAGCGGCCATGCCCAGCATCCTTCACTGAGGTTCTGGCCCCCCTGCTGCCACTCGGCTGTACAAGGCCACTTCCAGCCCCAGCTGTAGAAGAGGCCACTCATAATTTCCGAGTTTTGCTGTGGAAACCCCCATTCCCATCCCATCTGAATTCTGACATTATCCAAATGTAATGTCAAGAACAGCCAAGCAGGCAGAAGGCATTCTAGTCTTGTGAAATTGGGAAGGCAATCAGGAAAACAGGCTGGCTCATGTGGTGGGTTCTCAGAGGCAGGTGGCAGACAAGATGCTGGGATAGAGTGTGACCACCTTGGAAGGACGTGAGCACCAGCTAGAGAGTTAGGATCTTACAGATGCAGTGGGTAAAGACAAAAGCTTCTGAACACAGTGCTGAAACCACAGTAAGACACCACTGCCCACCTACCAGGATGGCTACTATAAAAAAGACAGATCATGAGTGTTGAGGATATGGCAAGACTGGAACCCTGTGCACTGCTGGGGAGAATGCCAAAGGGAGACAGTGCTTTGGAACTTTTAACAGTTCCTCAAAAGTTAAACACAAAGCCCTTATATGACCCAGAAGTCACACTCCTACATACCAGCCCAAGAGAAATGAAAACAAAATACCCGCACAGAAACTTGTACACGATGTTGACAGCAGCATCATTCATAGCAGTTGAAATGTGGAACAACCCAAATGTCTATCAACTGATGGGTGGGTAAATGAAATGGGGTATAGCCTTATAACAGAATATGATTCGGCGATGAAAAGAAGTGAATTACGGATCCAACATGGTAAACTCTGAGAACATTAGGGCAAGCGAAAGAAGTTAGTCACAAAAGACTACAGAGTGCATGACGGCACTGGTGTGAAATGTCCAGAATACATACAGCTATAGAGACAGAAAGCAGACAAGGGGTTGTCTAGGGCT